ATTCTTAATGGAAGAGCGAAGAAGAAGAGGCAGATGCTATCAGCGTGGTTGGATTGCCTTGCAGTCAGATCAAACATCCTAAAAGTGCAGGGAATGCTGAATCATGTCGCGAGGTTGTTACACATTTATCTTCTCTGTTGGTTTAATTGAACTTGTTTTTAAATGAAACCAAGTGGCCGTTTCGATGCAAACAAAACACCATTAGCGTTGTGAAAATCCCACTTACTTTGTAGCTTTTTTCCACACTCATTTTCCTTTTGAAATGAAAAGCCTTAAATGAGCTCTTTTCATCCTTATAATTTTTTTCCCTCCACTCAAGGCACTTTGTGACACCATTAATCACTTACCTCTGTTTGTTTGTCCTCTTTCTCCTTTTTTATCGAGCCAGAGACTCCACCCACCCCTCATCATGTGTGAAGGTCTTGTTTGTCCCTGTGTGTTTGTGTGTAAAAACAGCAGGACCTTCAGGATCAGGGAGTAAAATATATCTCGCAACACTAGCGTAGCGTGCCAGAGGTGTCCTGATGGCGATGGAGTCATACTGAGCTAATGAAGCTCCAAACCTCAGCTATCGATCCACCTCGCAATGGTGCTTTACTGAGATAACTGAGGAGGAGAGCAGTGTGTGGCCTCACGCGCGCTCTGATCTGTGTGACATCTAATTCTGTGTAATGAACCCTGTGCACCAGAGAGCATGATGGGGGGCTGTCTATGGTAATGACAGGGATAGCATGGCCTGGGCGGCTTTTGAAAAGCTTTGAAACACTGTCTGTTAGCTCACATGGCTTTACTGACAACAAGGAATTTATCACTAGAACAAACGCCTCTATAAAAGTCCTTCAGTTACTTTGTGGTTCTTGCTTGTATACTGTATTTCTATTTATCTACTTTGTAACTCTGCTATTGTTACTTTTCTCTGCTCGTTCATCCCAGAAGAGGGATCTCTCCTCTGTTGGTCTTTGTGAGGTTTCTCCCATTTTTATTCTGATAGAAGCTTTTCCGTCAGCCCTCCCTCCATTAAAACGCAGCCTATAAGATGTGGTATCACAGTTCTAATTTGGGTATTAGATACATATTGAGCAGCAAGCTCACAAACGTGAACAAAAAGTGAATGGAGCAATAATGTGGTTTGTAGGTAGTGTCTAGGAGTGTGACATTGTACTAAACAGGGTGAGGGCACAGTACAGCTAGAATAATGACTTATTTTCAAGCACAGTGCATAAGTGTTTCTATTGGCCTACAGAGGCCAGGAGTTGAACAAAGGTTAACTACAACCCATGAGTCTGCTTGAGCTGGCTGGAGATCTCACCAAAACAAGGAACGCATCCTTGAATTCGTCAGTCATACTGGCTTCAGTTGAAGTGAAGTGAATGCTCCCACAAGAGTACATTCACAGAGATTGGTGGTTGTGTGACAGTGACTTTGGGCTGAATTCAAACTGAAAATAGCTCTGCGTTAAAGAAATGCAAGGGAATTCGTTGGTGGTGCTACTGTACAGGTAGATATGAGAAGATAAAATACGATTCAGGAACATCTATAATCCTGAGGGGTAATCAGGCACCGAAAAACAGAGGTTTAATATACTGTGTTTTTGTGCCTGATTGGTGCCTGAAGGATTTCACAAATGTGGAAAGTTTATCACATTGGCAATCAGTGTCTCGACAGTCATGAAGTAGTGACTGTCGAACAGTGACAAGTGCATTTGCTTGTATTTGATTGAGTCCAGGGCAGCTTGCGTCTTGCATTGGCACCCTTGTTGGTTATTGAAGCAATAATGTCAGTTTAAACACAGCTTTAATACTCCATTAACTTTTTTTGGCCACTTGGGGGCAGCACAACAAGCTATAAACACAACAAATTATCACATTCTAACGTAGCAAAAAAATGCCTATTTACACATCCAGCAGACATGGAGCAACATAAACTTTTATCTTGAGTCATATCTCTTGCCACCTGGTGAATTGAAGTCAGATATTCACTTTTTTTAATTTTGGTCTGGTCTCCTCAAGTCTTGAGGGAAACATCTGGCTCTTTAGCTGCTAAATGCTCCACCGGCTAGTTCCTAACTTTCTCCGTCTGCCGTCTGGAGCTGGACAGGTAGTGTACAGTGCGATTATCAGAGCTTTCTCACTGAAAACAGCTGCGTCTTCTGTCTGGAAAGCTCTCTGATGAGAGCTGTTTTGTGCTGTAAAACTGATGAAAGATGAAAGACACTAAAAAGCTCCACAGAACTGAGGGGAACTGAAGAGTCGGGTGATAATTCTCTGTGGGTTCATCACTTCAAGCGACCCCCTTTCACATTATACAGTCATTTCATCCATTTTTGCAATAAAATATTGATGAGAGCAGCTTTAAGGATAGAGGGTCTTTAGATTGTAAAACCCTCTGAGATAAACTTTGATTTCTGGCTGTATAAATAAACTTGACCAAGATCTGGGGATTTGATTAAATTTAGTACCATTGCAGTGGTCATAATTACTCTTTTCACTGAAGTGGTGATGGTTTAAATTCTCTCCATCATTCCTGAGTAATAGGAAGTGTCAAACAAAACCTTCATGACACAGTACTTTGAACACTCCCCCTTATCCCTGCAGAATTAAAATAGACCTGGGAAAAAAAAGCTTTTCCTTTTCCATGACCACCTCTGCTGCTGGTGCAAATGAAAATGCCCTTCCCAAAATAGATCATTTTTACCCTTCAGATGTCCACTTTTATTTTAAGCCCAGTGACACCATGTCATCCATCACACCCAGCATTTCAGTTGTGAGCAGCCCCAGGGAAAACACCGATACAATGCAGGGAAAGTGTGATAGCGTGCTGCTGTTGTGTAGTTAGATCCTCTATGGTTAGACTACCACTAATTTCATCTCAGAGTAGCATTTAGACATTTTCTTTGTGTGAGTAAAGTGGAAGTCATTCCTCTTTTTAGGGTAAACATTGAAAATGGATGCCCTGCCTTTCCAACTCTTCCCTCAAATTACCGCTTGACATGGCCAAACATCGCTCTGCATTATTGTCTGCCAGGAAAATGCATTTCTGAATACTTTATTGAATGTTTTGGCTGGATGGAAATTGTACGAAGTGTACCCAGTGCTTTGATCATCTTGACCTGGAAATGTGATAGTCACCTCACTTCACAGAGCTCTCTGACACCTGGGAAACTGGATCTGGTATTCTTGATACATGATCTGCACCGCGGCACTAAAGACTTAACTTCTCCTGTTTCGTAGTCAGCAGAGACTACTGATGGGAACTGGAATTTCACATGGATCAGACTGAGGCTTTTTTTTTTCTTTCCCACAAGCCACTGGAGTCACAGCATTTGGAGCCTGGTGGAAAAAATGGCCTCTATGAATTTTATGAACGAGATTCCTGCAGCATTACTTTGACTTCAAACGCAGACAAAAAGGTTTTTACGTGTAGATTGGATTGTTACTTAAAATCTGCAGCTGCACAAGTTCACACTGGAAATTCCATATATTTGATGGGTGCGAATATAGTTTGGGCTAACTAAATTGATCACGAGACGAGATGCGTCTAGATCTTGTTGGCTCAACAGCTTCCTTGGAGAAACAGAAAGATGTCGAGTTTTAAAGATTGCCATCGTGAAACCTTTCTCGCGGATACAATTAATTCAGAAATCAGTTAATGTATTGCAGTCCTAAGAAATTGAATGTGATTCCACTGGCTGTGGTAGTGAGGTTAGAAGTAAATTACACAGAGCCAGTGTGTGGTTAGGGAAACTGTGGCATGGCTTTTAAAGTTCACCGCCCCTCAGGATATTTGATCGAGCCGCTGGTCTTTGATCAGTGTTAACAATACGGTAACCATGACAGTTTATTTTCAACTACCAAAAAAAAGACCCATTTGTGTCCGAAAACAATCTCCCCTTCCTCTGACACATTGGCACGCCGCAAAAGAAAAATGTCAGGGTCAGTGATGGGCCATTAGCCCAGAGTGAGTTTCTTTTGTGCTCTGAGATCCATTTAAAACACCTTTTTAGTCTTCAACAGATGGTACCGTGACACAGCAACCACAAGCTGACCTGGGCCTCAACTTGAAGACATTTCCAAAAGACCCGCAAGACATACAGCAACGGAGAAGAACGAGAATGTCTGCCCAGAGAGTGAATGACACAATGAATGAGTAATGCAGAATTCACCTGCTTAGCACGGCTGTATTGTAATGCCTTGTACTTTTGATTGACTACATAGTCACCCTCTATTCATCAGTATTATACCCTTTTCTTTTTCATGGAGGTTGCTCCTCTGTTATAGTCCTTTAATGAGAACTGCACTGTAGCCCACAATGGAAGCTTTTCAGCCAGATTAAATGTATCACTGTGCTGAAACTTTCCTTTCCTCTCTCCCCCCTTTGCCCCTATTGTGACACAGTGGTTTTACAGAGCAGCTTGTTGCTGAAAAACAAGGTTAAGAAGATCAGTATCAAAGGAGGAGTGTTTTGTGTGGCTTGCAGGAGAGTCTCGCTTCAGGTTTCCACCTGAAACACAAAGGTGTTTTCTTACCTGATTTGTATTCATTCACACAATGAGTGGACCTGCCTCTCTTGTTTCCAAGTAAGGAGAGGCCAGACGAGACTTTTGTTCCCCCTATCATTGGATATGTGCATGTTGCTTCCTCCAGTACGAGCCTTGGAGCCCAGCCACAGTCTTTGTCCTGGATGGATTTTTTTCCTGCCCTTTTTCCTCTTCTTTGTTGCTCTATGTGTGTTCTAAGAAACCATTTCAGAAAAATGTTTCAGCACTAATACTGTTTTTACCCCTTTTGGCTTCTGTGTTATTTCAATAATAACAAGTCTCATTACCCTAAAATTCAGTCAGAATCCAGCTCCAACAAATCAGCATTTGAAAGTGTTTCTGTCCATGGGAGCCAGTAGTTCAGTCCAATCTGGCCCATGTTATGCTGTCAAAATACAGATGATGCTGTTTGATTCAGTCAAACTGCTGAAAACATGATAATAAATGTTATTCTTGTTTTCAGGGTTTTTTCCTGACTGTGTCCCCGGAGTCAATCCTGAAGGTGGCGAAGCACGCTTCAGATAACAACAAAATCTTCTGCATGAACCTCTCAGCACCTTTCATCAGCCAGTTCTTTAAAGAGCCCTTGATGAAGGTCATGCCATACGTCGACATCTTGTTTGGCAACGAGACGGTAAGTGAAACGAGACATGGGTTCAGGCCTCTTTAGGACAGATATTCTGTTTGCTAACAATATTAGCTTATTTTGATAAAGATGTAAAGTACGTGTCTTTGTGTGTCTGCTTGTAGTTATCTTCATAAAGGAGGTTATATTTTCAGTCATGTTTATGTAGTTATTAGTAATTCAATTTTCAAAACCTGCTTGACTGAATGTTAGGCCATGGGTTGAGCAACAAGTAATTCATTCTTTGGGGGGGATCCAGAGGTCATAGTCCTAAGTACTTTGTTTTGTCTCAGACTCCTGAAAAGTAAGGCGTAGAAGCAAAATAAATTTTCCTCCAGATTTCTTCGTCCATGGCAAATCTATTAGTATAAGCCATGTCCATTTCTGCCATAAAATATTTGACAGCATGCTGCTTTCAGTCATGCTAGTCGTGTGGAGCTACGGGTGGCAATGTCAGTTGGTTGGAAACGTCTGTCCAGACGGAAGTATCTTAACATATTTTGGATGGATTGCTATTACATTCATGGCCCTCCGAGGATGAGTCCTTATGACTTTGGGGATCCACTGACTTTTCCTATAGTGCCTCTATGAGCTTGACAACTATATGGACTGCCGTGAAATTTGATAAAACATTCATCTCCTCCACAGGATGAATTGTAATAACTTTGTTTAATAATGATTACTTGACATTTCCTCTAGCAACATGATCTTGTGAAAATTTTAAATTAATGACATTTATGTCCAGTGCTATTTAGTAAACATTGTCATGCTAACATATTAAACTTAGAAGGTGAAAATGGTAAACATCATACCTGCCAGGCAAAAGCATGTTAGCATTGTCATTGTGAGCATGTTGACGTTAACATTTAGCTAAAATCCCTGCTGCTCAGCTTTACAGTACACCGAGCTGCTAGCATGGCTGGAGACTGAGGGCTGTTGTTTTTTGATCACTCCTCTTACAAATGTCAACCAGTCTTCATCAAATTTGGTACATATTTAAATGAGTCTGGGGGGAAAAACTATTCATTGGCTTTCTGATATGCCTTAACAAATGCCTTTTCAAAATTCTGTAGTGTGAACTGAAATAACTCCTGAACACCTAAATCAGGATATATCTGCATTTAATGTGTGCATGTGAGATGCAGAACCCAGAACTAAATATTTTTTTATATTTTCTATTATTGATAGAAGCAAATCAAAGGATTGTGCAGTCTTGGTGGAGGTGTGTGCTCTCACCTTGTTTAAAGCAAAATCACAATGACATGTCCACTGTTTCATTCCACTCATTGCTCTCATTGACCCTCAGTGTCCATTTAACTTCTCACTTATCACAGCCCCATAAAGGGATGAATAAGAATTAGCCCAGTAATCATTCATCTCAATCGCGTCACCATTTCATGCCAGTTGATCCATTGATTTTTCTCGGCTCTGTGGAAGTGAGTAGCTGGTCCGAGGTCAAGCTGTGGTCATTGACCGTAGTGCTGCTGGGAAGCGTCCTTTAACAGGCCAGCTGAGTTTGTCTCGGAGGCACCGCCTGGACAAAGTGCACCTTCGAGGGGGGAGGAGGGGAGTGGATGATCACTGGACTGAACCTCGCCTCTCCACTGCTAAAGCTACTAAACAGAGCCTTGTCTTCGGGTTAGAGATGGGGTCCACAGAGCAGGACAGAACTGGAAGAAACTGCTCAGCATTTGAGGATTTATTGCTGTTGCTGACTTCAGCTTTTTCCTCTTTTCTTTCCTCTCCCAACATAAGTCCTCCCTTTTACATATGCACCTCTCTCTCCCTCCCTAATTGCTGAGAGGAACGAACGATTCTGTCTCCTAAACCACAGTGTACATTTTGCAAGCGTTATGTATTTTCGGGTGGGTGGTACTGTAACTGTTTGCTTAAGAAGTTTGCTCACACCTCCAGTCATTACAGTTTAATGACTCTGGATAATTGCAATGTATGTTTGCTGAAGGAGATTATCTTTTGGAGTCTGTGTCAGGGCTTGCTCTCCGGAATTGAACCCGGCCTAGCCCGTCAAAATAAGGGATTGAGTGGGAAACAGAGCAGATATTCACTGCTCAGCTGCCTCAAGCAGTGAGGTCTTCCAGGGTCTATAGAGGACTAATGCCTGTCCAGAGTGTTTTGACTCCTTTTGGCCTTCCTCTGTGTTGGCTGCTGGGAGGAGGGAGCGGGGAATGACTGCTCATACAGTCGAGCCCTAGACCTCCCATTGTGCACAAGCCAGACAAGGTTGGCGGTCATGCAGTGGTGCATGGTGAGTGACAGGCAGCAGGGCTGCCTCGCCCGCGCTCACCCATCCAGCCCCCCTGGCCGTCCTCTCACCCCAACTTCCACCCCCCTAAGTGATGGATCAGTCTCAGCCCGCAATGCTTTCATAACAAGTCAGTGACAGTCAGGATCATGCAGACTGACTCCAATAGCCTTGCAGAATGTGCCATAAGGGAAGGCTAATGTGTCTGCCTTTCTGTGCGTTCCTCTCCCACACTGAGTCACGATACAGAGCTACACACTCTTGGGGAAATATGTTAAAAGCAGCTGTAAGTTCTCTTGTTCTATATGAGACTAATTATAATTTTGGGCAAGATTTAATTTTTTGAGAATCGAGTGCTGCATTATTTGTCCTGACTGGGATCTTATTTCAGTCAGATCACAATTCCCTTTTGATCGTTTGAAATTCCAAAACAGACTCCAAAAAAATGTCAATAGCCTCCGTTCCTTCTCTTGTTTTTGCCTGCTTCTGATGTTGAAATGTGTCTGTTTCTGACTGCGTCAGAAACATTACCCTTGGTAATTCTGCTGTAACTCGATCCTGCTGGTACTTGTTTGAAACCTGGCATCAGCAGGCCCTCCCTGGCCCATCGGCAGCCTCGTACTTATATAACAGTCTCCGATCCATCCTGTAATTACTGCCTTTCTGGGGCATAGTCTAGTGTCTGTGTCTTCAGTGGTGGGGGGGTGGAGAGGCTAGCGACGCCGTTTCTGCGTTGCCGTGGCTTCTGAGATGGGGCCGACGAAAGCACATAGACATCAGACGATACTCCGCTTAATTGGCAAACATGTCGTGTGATAACCTGGGAACAGCACAGGCCTAATTGAGTCCTCCTGTGCTGTCCTCCTCTGACTACCTGACATGGAACCCAGGGCATTACATTTCCCTCTATTTAATGGCTGCAGTTAATTAGGCCAGAATGAGGGAATCATTACCGCTGGAAAAATCACATGCCAGTGGATTCGCCGATAAAATTAGCCACAATTTGCTTTTGCTATTTGAGCATAAGAGATAAAGCCACAATTGGGGGAAAGGATTGGACCATTACTGGCGGATTTGTATTGTGGAATTTTAGACATATCATAGACAAATGGAACGATTAATCAAGACTGAATTAATCACCCTGACTGATGTTTTTTTAAGCCAGGATTCATGGCTTTCTCTATTTAGATCATTTCATGTGCTTGGGCTCTTTTTTTTAATCTAGGCAAATGGTTTAAAAATGTGCTTTCTTAATAAAATGGTACCGCAGATGAGGAGCTTAGTTTTTTTTGCCCCACAGTCAATACCCAGCAACCTCCTCGCTCTTCTGCCATTAACATTATATACCACCCCCATACAGGGGCTCTTCATGCCTTGCATTGCTGTCCAATGCGTTCTGCAGCTCCACACTCAGAGGGAGCTTATTTTTATGGTTCCCAGCCCCGTCTTCCAAACGAGAGACAGCCATTGTAATTGAATACTCAATAGGTGAGCCATTTAACAAAAGTGGAAATGGCATTCGGCTATGTATTAATGTGCTTTGCTGAGGCAAAAGGAGCCATCATCATTTCAATGTTCAAGCTGTTTTAAAAGAGCATTTAGCCTGCCATCTCTCCAGGCCATGAGAGCAAAATGACACAGATTTCTTCCTCCTCTGTACTTTGTGTGAATATTCCTCGCCTAATATTTTCTGTGGTTATCTCCCTTATTTTCCCATCCATCCCTCAGCACCTCTCCCTGATCTAGGTGGAGGGATACAAACAGCTCTACAGAAGGTTACTGTCATGAAAAGCCCCTCAGGCGTTTTGGCTCTCAGCCCTATTTCTCTCCATCTGCATGCAGTGTGTGTGGGGTGGTGGGGGCTCTAATGATTTTTCCAGGACAGGCTGAAGTGGGTGTACGTGTGTGTGTATGTATGTACGGGTGTGTGTGTGTGTGTGTGTGTGTGTGTATGTATGTACGTGTGTGTGTGTGTGTGTGTGTATGTATGTACGTGTGTGTGTGTGTGTGTGTGTGTGTGTGTGTACGTGTATGTGTGTGTGTGTGTGTGTATGTATGTACGTGTGTGTGTGTGTGTGTGTATGTGTGTACGTGTGTGTGTATATATATGTGTATATATGTATATATATATATATGTGTGTGTATGTGTATGTGTATGTGTATATATATATATATATATATATATATATATATATATATATAAAACGTGCGTGTCTGTGTGGATGGAAAAAAGGCAGGCGAATGGGCAATATGGCGTCATTTCACAACATCTCTTCAGATTCGTCATTTGGCTTTGTTTGTTTGATAGACTGCTTAGACGCCTTATCTCTGTGGCAAGGCCCGTGGTTATTTATCGCTTCGGTGACGTATATGGGACCATGGAAGTGCGTGCTCTCTGCTGTCAGTATGTGTGGATGATGGCAGGTTCACTAAAGGCCCCTTAGGGTATGAGGGTGTTCTTGCAAAAAAAGGGGGGGGATTGGAGAAAAGCATTTCCCCTTGACAGCTCACCCACAGCAGACTCAAGATGTACTTCTCAACGGTAGGAAAATATCCTGTCTCACTGCCTAAAACAAAGAGATGTGAGAGTCAGATTAGCGTTTTACCGAAACAGCTTTCCTTTTAGTGTCTCTCTCTCTCTCTCTCTCTCTCTCTCTCTCTCTCTCTCTCTCTCTCTCTCTCTCTCCTGTCAGAGCTGTCTGCAGAGAACAGGGAAGAACATGAGACATTAACCTCCATGTGTTTA